ATATTTGGTTCATGTGTCATGCTTACTGGTTATGATAAATATCTTTTGATATGATCAAAGCTCGTTTGATCTGAAATAATTTAGTTTAGAAATTATAATGATCATCAGAAAAATTACCTAGTGATCATGAAAATACTTTGCTGTTTTGCCAAATTTCAAGGTTTATCTGCATACATAGGAAGACATTTTTACTCTATAAAAAATGCTTTTCATACATCAATAGCCCTTTGGATTTTATGGCAAACTTTGGATTTTATGGTATGAGCCATAGATTAACACACCTTTACATCTCTAGATGAGGTGTTCAGTTTGAAAAGGGACAATATGTGACATGGGACAACATTTCATGTATGTGAAATACTCAGGTTTAATACCATTCCAGTCAAATTGTCAAAATAAAAGCTTCATGGATCAGAAGACTCAAAATCACAGGTTATAGTAAACAGCTTCTCATGTAATCAATGTTAGTTTTCTCAAATCTTAAACAATATGTAGTATAACTGTCCAATGATTGAATGATCAATGATCATAAACTGAAAAGCCCCAAACATTTGCTTATGATAAAGTAAATAATAGTATGGCGCCTTATGGCTACAGATTTTTTGTCCATTGAAATATATTTGCAGGAATGTAGGATTTTGCTGCCATATAACGGCCACGATTCCCCAAGCACTAAAGAAATTATAGCTAAAAGTCCTTCGGCAACAACAATTTTAGAAGCATCAATCTGCTTACCATATGCCATATTGACATAAATCGCATCACATACTCGCATAAATTGACTTTGATATATTACATTCATGCATACACTTCACTTGTCCTTTACTTACGATTTTGGATGTAAATTTCTGCTGATAAAACTCAAAACAATGTTGGCTTTCTTTTGAACATCAATGACTGAAATGTCGCTCGCGAGATCGTCTTCGCCAAGCATTTACAATTTATCCATAAATTTTTCACCCTCTTGAAAAATTCACAGTTTGGACAGCTTCATTCATGTCAATATATGAATTTGTAAAAGATTTCATAAAATCCATCTGATTGTAGTTTAGTTTCTATCATGCTTATAAAATTGCTATGAAACGATCAAACATTCAATTCAGACAGTGAGCTTGACTATGTTAGTTCAGTTGGCTATCAGTCGAAATCCGTCAAACCAATCACAATAAAACAAAAATTCAAATGAACCAATTGTAAGATAGCAATGAAGTATTTGCCGGTTGCCAGTCTCCTTAAATTTGCGCAAATTTGCTCATTATACTGAACTACCATTTTGCTTGCACCAAGTCAAATGGAAGAGAAATGGAGTGCAAACAATGACCATTAAGTCGAGTACGTATATTTCCGATCGTATTGAAGTCACATTTTAACAGATGGAAAAATAATGCTACAAGTTAATGTTTCCTTGACACTTGTAAGAGTTTCTTAAAGAATCCTTTTACGTGGAGAACTGTGTCTTTACATGATCGCCGATATTGCTTTTGCTCAAAAGTCTTGGTAGTGTTTATGCCGATGAACTAAAATGGCGGGATAGCTGGTCATTTATCGTCACAAAACGTGGCCATCAATACTCAGAGAAACATCATCACGCAGCAGACATATCGAACTGGGGTGAGCCTGTCACTGCTCGTGCTACAGTTCCTCTTGTTCCTGCTAAACAATCTCAATGTGCTTGGGATGACAGTGAAGAATCAAAGCAAAGAAGAGTGTTTTGTGATAAGTTTGAAGGCTATGGAAGTGTATGCAGTTGTAAGTATCTTTTCGTTACATCCTTGTAGGATTAGATTTCTTATTTAATTGAACGTACAGCGATGTGTTCAGTAATTTTGCCATTCACATTGTGCATTAAAACTTCGAGAGAATATTCTGAGAATACTCCATGGAAAAAATTGTAGAAATAAGGATATCACTGTTATTGCAGCTAATGTTAGAACGATATGAAGAACTGACAGAATATGTTCTTAAATGTTGTAGGTAATAATCCTGCTCCAATTGAAATTAAAACAACACCGTTGAAGTTAGAAAAAGTTCAAGACATTCCTGTTGCTGTGATTGCTAGTAACAGGCCACATTATCTTTATCGTGGCTTACGGTCAATGTTGTCAGCTCATGGAGCAAAGAAGGAGTTATTTACTGTATTTATTGATGGATTCTTTGAAGAACCAGCTGCTGTGGCAAGGCTATATGATGTAAAGTCGTACAGCATATTCCTATTAGCAGTAAGAACGCTAGAATATCACAGGTTGGTAAGGCTTTTTCTTTGAGAGTGTTTACACGATGTAATCAAAATTTTTTCGTTCCTTTTATTACTTTTTAAATGTATTTTCTCTTCCTCCCAGCATTACAAGCGAACATTGACAGAGACGTTTAATGCTTATCCCAATGCTCGGTATATGATTAATGATTATTTTGGAAGAAGATTTAGACGTATCTGTGGACATATTTAGTTATTTTAATCAATTTTGGCCTTTAATGGATACAGATGAAAGTCTGTACTGTATATCGGTGGAATGATCAGGTTTGTTATAAACAAAAGCTAACAACATTCTTTTCATCTTTTTAGTCTTTTACTCTATTGTTGGCTTGTGTTTGCTACACAACAAAATTTTAATTCGTTTTCAACTTTATTAACGTGGTTTTGAACGTCTCTGTTTCTTTTGCTTTTTGTCGAGTCCAGTTTATCTCTGACGAGAGCAGAATGTAAATTAAATAAATCTCAAATATTTTCACATTATAATGGAAAATGGAAATCTCCATACAAGAATCTGTTATCTTATTGTAGTTTTCATTGGTTACATTATGTTTGTCTTTATCGAGCTTCCTTCCTTGCACATCACAAAGTGAAATTTAGAAAATTTACCTTAGAAATGGTACATCCATTGAAAACTAATTTATGTGATTAATGATTTAATTGCAAAAACAAGTATTTCTATTTTTAGGGTTATGATCACACGTGTAATGATCCTGCAATGTTATATCGTGTAGAAACAATGCCTGGTTTAGGCTGGTGAGAATTTTTATTACTACAAATGATTTTGTTTACGCTATGACATCACGCAACAGTGACGTCATGCTACAATGACATCACACTACAAGCACATCACGCTGCAATGACATCACGCTACAATGACCTCACGCTGCAATGACATCACGCCACAATGACATCACGCAGCACTATAAATGTATAGATAGTATAAACTTCATTCTATCTATTATTTCTCTTTGCATTAACAGGTTGCTCAAACGACGACTTTATAAAGAAGAACTTGAGCCAAAATGGCCAACCCCTGATCTCTTTTGGGATTGGGATATGTGGATGAGGATGGACAGCAACAAAAAGGGACGTGAATGTATCATTCCGGATATCTCAAGAACCTACCATTTTGGCAAAGGCCTGAATATGAATGTATTTTTCAAGAATCCTATTTCAAAAACATACGTTGAATACTGAACCTAACGTTAAGTTTAATGTTGGATTGTTGAAAAAGAAAATTATGAGAGGAGATTGAACGGCTTGTAGGGTATGTCTTGCAGGATTTTATAAAATATTGACAACAATATTTTTCTTTTCACAGGACAATGAAGGAGATTTCTACTTAGTGATTCAGTGATCTAATTATCATCATAGTGCGTATATTTATGTCATTTGATTGTTGAGATGTCTATCTACTGTTTTTTACAGGTTGGCAGAGCCGTTGGATCACAGTAAAATCCTTGCAAGAACGAGAAAGACTTTGTTCCAGAAACATCTGATAAAACATATATATTTTATATTGAAATGAAACATGCTAACGACTGGACAACATGGAATAATATAGCGAGATGTTTACGAATCTGGGACTTAGATGCTCGAGGATTTCATAAAAGCATGTGGAGATTATGGTTAAAGGGTAATCACGTGTTAATTGTTGGATCACCGGCTTCACCTTACGCCAAACATAAACCAATTAACGTAAAACCTATTTTCATTCCTAAAAAATCGGAGACTGCGTGATCATCTTTGATTAGAGATATCATTCGTTTATCATGCGGCATTTAAGCTAAATGAATGTGGGGAAATCTTGAAGTTTAAAAAACTTTAATGTAAATGTGATTGGATAAATTTTCATCATGGTTTGATCAAGGAAATGAACTCGTTGAACAAGGAATATAAGAGGAAAAGATAACTTTCAATTTGTTCAGTTTTACTGTTAATAATGTAATTTTAAGGATTACAACCACGGAAAAGAAACAATCGCGCTTTTCCCACAAAACATTTACCGCATTTGAAAGTCCTGCTATCGTTACATCGCTAAAGATAATTATTTGAAAACGAACTTACCTCTCATTCTTTCCCTTTGTCCCATCCTATTAGGATTGCTAAAATGAATCACTTGCTACCATTTAGTTCTGTCAATAAAATTCTCTCGTTAAATTATTACATTACATTTTACAATGGCAAGTCATATTATTGCAATAAGCAGGGCTCCAATGTTCATAATAAGTATTGAGCACGACAAAAGCTTTTCTATAACATGTGGGTGATTCCCACGTGAATAAATTACAAGCTTTTGATATGCCTTCTAATTTATTTGTTGACGTAACAAGTTGAATAAAGGTGGTCAGGTGGGAGAAAAATGATAACTCTCCTAGCTATGGTGCATTGAATTGCGGTTTTGGGTGAGATAATTTTTTGTTCATACTAGATAAAATTTACCACAACACGACATGCTCTGTCTGCCGTCATAACCTTACAATCATTGATTTCGCAAACTCTTCATTGAGGAAACAAAAGAAATATTCTTTTGTTTTCTCCAAACCTCTGGGAAAAGGCTTTGCTTTCTTTTACTAACCAATGTCGTTAGTTAACTTATAACCAGGCTTAATTCCTTTTGTCTTTGCCCTGCATATATTTTCATGCAATCAATGAATTTAATCCCTTTTTATCATGGTTTGAACAAAATTGACGAATGAATTAATAATTAATTCATGTGATATATGAAAGTTATCAGAAGAAAAGTAGGGTCTTTCACTTCGATAACCCTATTTGACCGAGCTGTTCGTCTGGGAAAGGTGAAAGTCTGTTGAAAGTCGAAGACAGCCTTCAAGAAATGCGACTACTTGTTGGAAAGGACGAGCAACTGAAGACATGACACGGTTGAGATATTTTAGCCATGTTTGAAAGCGGCAGGTTAAATACAGAAAAATCGTCGATGACATAAAGATGTAAGTTTGAGATCGATGAATTAAAATGTATAACCCAATTGTGATGTGAATTCTCGTTACAGCATATTCAAAGCATCGTTATGAGTCCTATTTGTTCGAAGGAATGATCGATTTCTTTGGTTTCTTAGTATTTCTATGTTTCGATCTTGGAGCACAAAAATGCCGTCAAGTTTCAGTTACATATTGAAGTGAGAACACGAACGAAACTGCCAAAAGTTTCCACTATTCTTGACATCAATTATTGGACCTCTTCAATACATGTCCAGAAAATATTTTCATTTTTGCATTCATCGTTATCATTCACATAAGTGTGATGATTTTGCATTTTGCCTATTTCTAACAACTGGCCATTGTTAGAAATAGCAAGTTCAATCCTTTTGTCTTTGTGACAAAAGGATATAATATTTTATGTCTCCCGAGCAGGGCCGGATTAAGATGTGTGGAGGCTCTGAGCAGCAAAAATACGTAGTAAAGATCCCCTTTCCTTACTCTAAACGCAATGTGCTGCTCATTTTCAACAGTAAAATTTACTTTCAAATTTCGTAAAGCATTTGATAAAAGTATAAACTTCGAATATAGCGTGTAAAGCGGTTGCATACGACGAGTGAATGCTGCTACTTGAGATAAAGTAGTTATTGCGATTTTATTCTGGCAGTCTTTGATAAGCTCTTCCAAGTTTATTTCTGTTAGAATATTGTCCTCAATGCTCATCAGAGCAAAATGGCTGAGTTTACTGTGATTCGTTGTCATACGTGGTCTGTTCTTCATCAGCTGAAATTGATCCAACAAATAAACTAAATGCTTTTCCTTCGTCTTTAAAGCAACTATGTTTATTCTTCCTTTGAATAATGTGAAGGCCCTTGTTTGTGGAGGCTTCTAGACAGCTTCCTTTGGTTAATCCGTCCCTGCTCCTGAGAGGAACTACTGTAGCATCAAGTGATGTTATAGTAGGTGAGATAAAAGTGGGTAATTCACTTGAGAAACGTTCAAATGAATTACCTCAAATATATATTATAGAGTATACAAGATATTGCAACATGGGGGCAAAATGTTGCTGAATCTTCAAATGCGATGATGTTTTATAAACCTTCGTACCTTACCGTAATAATTAAACAACCTTTTCAATGAAATCGAGCAGAGAATATATTGCATGAGACATTCGTTAATTATCTTGTTTTTATCAAGGTATTTTTGAATTATATCGCATGTAATAAATCGTTTGACAATGTTACAGAACACTGCATGTGTTATAACATTGAGGGGTGTTATAACACAATGCACGGTTCAAACGATAAGCTTTAGCTTTTCGCGAGTCTTATAATCTTCGAAGAGTTGTTCACTTAACATACATGTTCAATCATGTACAGTCATGGATCAATGAGCATGATAAAACTGGACAGTGAAAGAACGCGAACGTCCGGCAGTGGTATGTGCTTACAATTGTTTGTTTCCATCAAACAAATAACTTCTTCTTCAGTCTTTTTAGGTACAAGAGATGAAGATCAGGAAGAAGATAGAGGAGTACGTTATTATTTTTCCTGTCCTAATCTTAACTTGTTTTTAGATTTTTCGTTTAGATGAGGAGGAGGCTGATGAAAAGAGAGAGGATGCTGACGGAGAGACAAGAAGATGCTGATGGAGAGACGAGGATGCTGATGAGAGAAAAGAGGATGCTGATGGTCCTGCGAGGATGCTGATGGTCCTGCGAGAGGATGCTGATGGTCTACGAGGAGGATGCTGATGGCGCTACAAGGAGGATGCTGATGGCGCTACGAGGAGGATGCTGATGGCGCTACGAGGAGGATGCTGATGGTGCTGAGGAGGATGCTGATGGTACTACGAGGAGGATGCTGATGGTGCTGAGGAGGATGCTGATGGCGTTACGAGGTGGATGCTGATGAAGCAACGAGAGATGCTGATGGAGCGACGAAGAGGCTGCTGATGGAGCGACGAAGAGAGGATGCTGACGGAGACAGGAAGCATGCTGATGGAGAACAAGATGAAAAACAAGATGAGGTATAAAAATTTTTTTATTTGTTTCACTGACTTGTAGCTTAGTGACTTCAGTCTTTTTTCAGGTTTATGTGTTTGTTTTTATTGTGTCGCTAATTTGTTCTTTGGCTATCTTTTAGATTTTTAAGAAATCTTGGATTTTGAGAGAGCATATATACTCTGTTGAATTCGGCGTATTCTTACTAAGTCAGAGAGTTCCCTCGCTCTCTGACTTAGAAAACGAATTTTGTGGTAAAGTATTTCAAAGTAGGCTCCTGCCACCTATTTTGGAATAATGTTGTACAAATTTCTATTAAGTAATGATTTTAGAATAATGTTGTTTGAAAAGCATTTATGCCGTGATGAATAAATAACATCCATCGGTAGTTTTGAAACGACTGTCAGCTTAAAATATGCATATGTATTTAAATTAAACATGGTCACCATGCCAGCAAGTGTCAGCGTTTGATAAATGTTTTTCGAAATACGCTTTTCAATGCAATATGGAAATTTGTCATCATAACGTGCACAAAATCGCTGTTTCGTAATAATATATACGCAATTTTAACAAATATTTAATGATGTTTGGGGCTGTTTTCATTCAACCGTAGCTATAGTGTGTTTCTTTTGACGTCATATAAGCCATGTTGGGAGTACATGAGAGTGTCGAAGCTCAGCAAAGCATAAAATTAGCAGAATTCTTTTCACTGTATGGAATTTTGCTCCAACATGGTAACTGATGAAAACAATTTAGAGGAAGAAATCATTAAGGTGTAAAATGATTTTTTCATCAGCTGGCAATCCATTTGGGACTTTTCACAGTATTTTTAATTCACGAAAATTTACATAAAACGTACAAAATGACATACCTCGCAACAAGTATAAAACATGTGAAAATTGATCATCAAATTTACTGGCATTTCCCAGTATAGTAGCGGCATCTTCTTTCATGTTTAGAGATTATTTTACACCTCAATGTTTTCTACTCTCATGTCCTTAGACCCAAAAAAATTTACATCTGTAATGTAATGTATGATAAACTTAAGAATAAATTTAAGAAAAGGAACTTCTCAAACGACTTCAAGTAATATGTAAGTTTTAGCAAGTAAAATGTTCGTACAATAAATTATAAAAACAATCTCAAACATTGTTTAAGATTTTTAGACATTAAGCTGGCTTGAAGACCACTGTTTTGCAAAAATTCGGCAATTTCGAAGTGATGTATTTCGCCCCCATTACCTTCAATGGCGGCTCATGCAGGCTTCAAAGATGGCGTCCAAGTTAGCCTTCCAGTCGTTGTAGAGTTCACTGGGTTTAAATAAGGTCGAGATAGATAGTTCACTATACCACGACGAAAAATTGCATGTAATTTACAAACTCTTGGCGTCACGTTCATTTGCTATAATAAAATTTACAATAAATATTTTTTTATTATTGATTGAACTATGGACGAATAAGAAAATTCATATCTAGAAATGACATGAATGAAAGGCGAAAGTAAATAAAAAATGTGACTATTTTTGACCAATGACATTAGGATGTTGATAGTGGTTACAATGGATGATAGTGGATAATTATAGACATGCTTTCAAAATGGCGTATGCTGAACAATTTTATTTTCAGTCAACTTGGAGCACTTAATCATTTTATGGCAAGAATAGGTAAATGTTGGCTGAACTGTATAAAATAAGGCGTTCAAGGATGCAATTCGGAAGCGTAAAAAGACTTGAGGCATATGCAGAACTATCTTCACGTAGCAGACTGACATTTGTGGTGAATTCACTGAATTGTTCTGGAAGCTAACAGTTATTGGTTGTTATTCTGGCTATGTGAAACCAATCTATCTGCATGAGTTCTATCATGATTTTAAACAGCAAACGATGCGTTGCGTATGAGTTGTATCGACCAGCTTACTACACAGTCAACACTTCACCAATTTGGAATTTGAAACATTTTGGTGATAAGAATTTTATACCGACGTATCCCTGCGATAAAAAGACTCACAAGAAAAACTGTTTTGTTCAGAGTAAGGTAAAAATATTTTACTCTCTGATTGCCTAAATATTCTTTGAGTATTTAAAACTGGCTCATATAAGACCATACATGTATGTAGTTAATGGGATCTACATTTTAGCTAGCGTGTGCAATATTTTTATAAGTAAAACGATGCACGGTAGTGAGGTAACTTAGTGATTAAATGTACTTGGAAGCCGAGGAGATTTTGTAGTAAAAGTCACAAGACTTGTAGCACCGAGGGACTTTAGCTAACCTGCCAGGGCTTTCAAGTGCATTTGATTGCCAAAATGTTTTAGTCAGTGCTTCACACACTGTTTATAAATTTGGATCTGCAGCTATTATTACCTAAGTGAAGATCTATTGATTGTCATGCTTTATTTTATCTCCATGTTTTTTTTATATTTTCACCATCATAAGTTGAACATTTGAGTTACCTTGCATGAGTCGTTTTTACTTAAAATATGTTCTTTAACAATTTTGGTTCATCATTGTTTTTGTTTTCTTGTAATTGATTTTATTTAGTATTTGTTAATATTGCAACTAAAATATTAACTTCGTTTCAGTCTCCGCTTGCTGAAATCAAGATGGCTTCTAACCTTGAACATTTCAAACATTACAACTCAATGGTTAATGAATATTTAATCAAGTTACATTTGTTTCATCGTGTGCAATTCCTCTTTATGGATATCAAAGATATAGACAGTTATTCAAGAATGAAATAAAATATAGAATGTTTTCATTTGTTGATTTGACATACAGATTGGTTTGTTTACCTCCCAAAATAGGGAGGAAATTTGTTCAGCGAACATAAATGCAGTCTTTACAATGTTTTTAGCTGTCTTGTCATAAATATCGAAAATGTTTAATGATTGATAATATTTTTAATGTTTAACTAAATGAGTTTGTTTTATGCTTCATTAGAAACTGATGGAAGCTTTGAATAATTTTGGTCAAAAGCGGCAGATAAATCCTGGGGATGGGGATGAAGCTTTCTATGTTTACAGATGTATACCATTGTGAATTTATAATTTCATTGCTATCACAATTTATAGATTAATATAAAAATTTTGATGCTATGAGATGGTCTCATCAATGTGCAACAATTGAACTGGATTTCCAACTTCCTGAGAGATTCAACCTCACTTACGCTAGGTTAGTTTTGCCAGTAAGCTTTGTTGAATAACCTCACTCGGTCTTGATACTTAATTTATTTAACCAACAGTGACATGATTATTTGTTTCTATAGAAACCTATTGTTATATATTTATATGCTTATATATACTATATACTTATATGCAGCCTGCTACATTGCTGAACACTGAAAGTCCCACCTGCATTCAAACTCATACAAACAAACCCAGATATAAGTATATGTATATGTAAGCCTGTGTATTATAGTCAGAGGATTATGAATTTCCAGTTTAAGTTTCCATGAAATTGTAGATCTTTACAAATTGTAACAATTTAGTAATTTATCAATATTCTATTACTCTATTGACAGTGGTGAAGGAGATGAAAAATTACATCCTGTTATTATTCATCAAGCTATTGTAGGTTCAGTTGAAAAATGATTGCTATTCTTGCTGAAAGCTTTGGTGGAAAATGGTGAGTGTTTTCTTGGCTCATGCCAGAGCTTAAAGCAAATGAAATGTCCTTAAAATGTTAAATTAAAATGATACAAAGTTTCTTAATTGTTTGGAAATTTTTTATCATTTTTACGTTACTTTATTTTAAAATTTTGACGCACTGCATTTTCTGTTATTTTCTAGGATTTTATGGCTTTCTCCCCTTCAAGTTGTAGTAATTCCTGTCAGTAGTAAATATAATGATTATGCCGAAGGTAAATTTAATTTGGTAAGCCTTAGATCGAACTTGCACAGGCTAATGCAAACTCAGCTATGGACAAATTGTTGCTATTTTATGAATTGGATTTTTTGTCCTTTTTTATTGACATTTTGGTCATGTTTAGATTCAAAGAAGTTCCATGCAGCTGGTTATCGTGTTGATACAGACTTGGATCACGGATCAACACTAAATAAGAAAGTTCGCAATGCACAACTTTCACAGTACAACTTCATTCTTGGTATGAATAAGTCTTTTAAACTATTTTTATTTACTGTACAAATAAATAGAAATTAAAAAGGTTTGGAACCACTGTTGGTGTTCAGAGTTTACTGACGTTTCCACAACATTAGTCAGGTTCGCCGTATTTGTTCTCTAGACGTCATGACAGAGACGGAAATATGTGGATGTTTAGTTTGTGTAATATACTTATTAATTGTTCGCTTGTAAGCCGTTTATAAGGTGCTGATATTTGTATTCTGTTCAATGATTTTTGTTTTGAGTTTGTTAACCTACTTTCTAACGTAAGTCGTTGTCTATAGTCAGTGCTGCTTGTAATGTTGTGCATTGTGATGCTCACTTGTCAGTACTTGTTGTTCTTGGTAGTCAGTTGATGCGCGAGTTGTAAAATGTAAGGTATTATCATTTGCTGTTGTTGGATTGTTTGTTGTTTGTATTTTTGTTTGTTTGTTTTGTGTTCATTGTCTTTTTAAGTGTTGTCTATTTTAAAAAGCAAAATAGATGGTTAAATGATTTCATGTTGTTTTTTAAACAGTTGTTGGTGAAAAAGAGACGGTCTCAGACACAGTCAACGTCAGAACACGTGACAACAAAGTACTCGGTGAAAAGTCAGTCATGGCCATGATCGAACGCTTGCGAGATTTAGCCAGCTCACGAAATCTGACAAGCGAAGATTTTTGAAGTAAAACGACATTTTTATGGTAAAGATAAAATGAATTTACTGGCAAAAATAAATTTGAATGTAAATCCCATGATGCGTCGCAATTATAGAAAAATAGGTACGCATACATGCTACTGGTCACTGGCAGACTGGCGGCAGTGGTCACTGGTATTTTATCAGTGGTCACTGGTACTTTATCAGTTGTGGTAATATTGATTTTATCGTGGTGGTAAATTCTTCCATTCGTAATTTATGGCGATAACCATCAGCAACTTTTCAACTTTTTATCATCAAGTTTTCACTCAAACGAGATCGCTTCTCTTTCATATTTTGGCTTGTTTCTTGAGCTAGTAGGAGGCTGTGTGCGTTGATACAAATCTGTTGAAAATTGATGAATTATACAATGACCAATCATGTAACTGCGCGAAGTTCTTAAATTCATTAATAATGAATATTTTTGAAGATTTGTTGAAAAAAGTGTGGTATATACCAGTCCGATGGTTGTATTTGTGGGTGTATATGCCATTTTACGGCAGCGAAACATACCACGTGGTATATGGCATTCACCCTGATACAACCATCGGACTGGTATATACCACACTTTTTCAACAAATCTTCAAAATATTCGTGTGTGAATTTAAGAACTTCGCGTAGTTGATTGTTGTATAATTCATCAATTTTCAACAATTCATATAACGCTGCCAACTCAAGCAAACAAGAAATTTTGAAAGAATGATAAGAGATTGAAAAGGATAACTGAAAATTATCGCCATAAGTGATGGGTAATTACCACGACAAATCAATATTACCACAAC